CCGGCAGTGTAGCCTTGGTCTTTTTGCGATCATCCTCGATGAGGGCACCCTCGAGGCGTTCGGCCACCTCGTTCACAGAGGCGGATAGCAGGGATGTCGACCTCGGGGCGAGAGGATCAGGAGGAAGATAGCCAGTGCGCCCTCGCTTGACAACCGCCTCGCCCTGCTCAGTGCGAGAGCGTTTGCCCAAGGCCAACTCGCGTTCCCCGTCATCATGATTGCCGGACTCGACCAGAGCTTTGGTCGATCCGGCAGAAGTGGTTTTGGAGGATTGTTGGGCGAGGGGCAGTTTTTCTTGGGTTTTGGTTTTGGATGAAATGTGGGGTTCGGAGGATTTATCGGTGATTTGGCCTTGAGGGTTATCTTTGGGATTGGAAGCTCGAGGACCTGTCTTCTGTGAGCGGTCATCTGATTTCTGATGGCGGTTAGTGGTTTTTAGGCGATCATCGGATTTGTGTTGGTGGTCGATGGTTTTCGAGGAGGTCGAGGACTTGGAGGTCGATTGAGAGTCAGATTTGTGCTGGGGGTTCTTCTCAGGAGGAAGCAAGGAAGATCGCCCTTGCGGGGTCTTGGAGGGTTGTTGTTGTTGTTGTTGTGGTTGTTTCTGTTGCTGTTGTTGTTGTTGTTGTTGTGGTTGTTTCTGCTGTTGTTGTTGTTGTTGTTGTTTTTGTTGTGGTGGTTGTTGCTGTTGTTGTTGAGGTTGCTGTGGCCCCGGTGGCGGGGGCGGGGATAAGGGGGTCTCTCGTAGAGGCGACCGCGGTTGCGGCTCTGGTCGAGACCCCGAGGAGGTGGTCGATCCCTCGACCTGGCCCCCGGTTGAGCCAGAAGTACCTCCCGTCTTTTTTTTCAGAGGAGTTTTCCTCGGAGGGATGTTGAAACTGGGCACCTCTGCAAAAAAATCACAACATAGATTATATTCGATATCAGTAATAATCACTCAGAACAAAAACAGTGAAACACACGAGTACTCGACTAATCTGCTCGATGACTACCTGGATCATCTTCAAGTCGAATGAGATCGAGGATTTCGTCGGTGGGAGGGGAACAAGTCTTGTGGGTGAGAAGACCACAGTGGTGGAGAAGTTTCTCGTCCTTGAGAAGTGTTTCTGACACAACAGTCTTAGAGTTCCAAGTATGGACCCGTTGCTCGAAAAGGGGATTCGAGGGAGGAGCAGAAACTTCCTGGGGAACCTCCTTGACCTAGGGAATGGAAGGCCAAGAGAAAGGCTCAGCATGTCGGACAAAAATAAATCGATCAATCCACTTGGGAAGATTGGAAGGAACGTCGCTGATAAAATGAGCACCATTACGGCTCTTTAAGTAAAGGCCTCGACCTTGCTTGGAAGGGACGTAGCAGTAGTGGAAGAAGGCGAGGTCGAATCGACCAAGGCGGATGTGGCAAAGAATGATGAAAGTGGTCATGAAACGGATGGCGTTGGGGGGAAGTTGATTAAGGGGAAGCCCGAACCACTCGCAGATCTAAAGTAGATCAGGACTTAAAGGAAAACGAAGACCAAGTTTGAATTGGATTTCGAAAAAGGTGTAACAGCCTTTAGGAGGATGGTCGAAGGTAGCAGAAGAGGAAGGGCTATAGAACGCCCAACCGGTAGGATGACCGATCCTTTCAGGTCTATACCAAGGGTTAGAAAGAAGGATGGAAGAAGCGCGTTTTGTGGATTTTTCGGTTGAGGATTTTTTCGGAGGAGAGTCGGAAGTCCTAGGCTGAGAAGAGGAAGGTGGAAGGGTCGAAGAAGGGGCAGAAGTAGGCTGAGGAGAAACGATCTCATCCTCTTCTGGTTCGTCTAATTCGCCAATAACAGGTTGGCGACGGTGGAGAGGGATATTGTCCATAGTATCCCCGGAGTTGGGAGAAGCGACACGGGCAGTAAAGACACGGGTAGAAACAGTATCGCCGGGGCGAAGGATAGAGAGAGGAACAGCTTCAAGGGTCGAAGGCAATACTTCGACCGAATCAGAGGAGGTAGTCGAGGTAGCAGGATCTGAAAACAAAGAAGAAAAGAGCAATATCAAAAGGAGGAATTTTGGCAAAAGAAAAGGGAGAGAAGGATAAGGTTTTCAAAATTAGGGTTTTACGAAGAGGCAATTTGGGAGAAATTAAAGAAAGAGAGTAGGAATTCTGAGGGATTTTCGAGGGGAAAGGGTGAAATCTACAGTGAGTAACAGACGAGAGCAGACATCCAACACACTATTTCAAAACATTCAAGCAACAAAACTTCAGATACTCAATTCCAAAAAATTCAAAACGCAAAAGCTCAGATACAGGAAGTACAAAATCAGGAGAAAAACAACTTACTCATAGTCACGGAGGAGAGAATCGGGAAAGCCTGAAGGTTGCAGGAAGAATCACTGATGGAAACCAGGATTTTTTGCAGAGAGGACTTTGAATGCAAAGAAATTTGGGAGAGATGAAGGTGGAAAAAGTCTGAAAATCTACTAAGTGTCGAATTTATACTTTGAGGAGTTTAAAGGGTGAGAAAATGAAGACCGTTAGATTAAAGCCAGATCGTACGGTGGGAAGCATTAATTTGCACGACACTCAAGGCGGGTGCGTTATACGAAGAAGTGTCATCATTAAAGCGTCTGACACATGCGGCAGACGCGACGCGTGGCAGAAAAGCAGGCACGACAGAAAGGACTTGAAACAGACGGCTTTATTTCTAGCAATTAATGGGAAATTATTTGAAAACATGAGTGGAAAACTTATCGACTGGTCGATATCTGACGACGAGCCACCCAGGAGGTCGATAAATACGAGTTCACTCTTAGATCGAGTCATTCAGACTCGACCAGAGTGGGGGGGGACTAGATGATATGGGAAATTATATACACAAGGCTAAACAGGTCTGCCCAGCCGGTCGAGAAGATCAAACCGAGAGGAAGCCAAGCTAAAAGGCGGGAGGATCGATCATTCAGATAATCGACCAGGCAGATAGTCGACCAAATCCATCGCTCGACCAGATAAGTGATCGAGCAACCTCTTCGACCTCATCAGGTCGATTGCTTCGAGGACCTAATAGTCGGCCTAGTCACAAGCGCGTGTAGGAACCTCTAACCGAATCTCAGGAGACTATTTACCCCATGTGCAGGGGGACACGTGTCGAGAATACATTGGTGGATATCGATAACCACCTCTGACAGCTCCCTGACGCCCCCGCGCAACCTCTAACATGCGCGCGGTGTGCCAGAGTACGGACGGGCAGCTTGGGCAGCCAGCTCATCTTATACGGGCAGCTATTAGGGCAGATATCTCATCTCTATATAAAGGGGGTGAGCCTTTCTCCCTTAAGACATTCTATTCATTCTTCATTTTAGTATACTCATACACATACTGACTTAAGCATCGGAGGCTCTTCACCGGACACAACCCCCGGTGTGAGAGTTACTTGCAAGTTTTCGGCGTTCTACCGGCGAGGACAAAGACGCTCACACTTGCATTACTAACCATTTCAAGTTTGCGTTTGTTTTTCCATTTTCCGTTTTCTAGCAATTTGTATATATATATATATATATATATATATTATTGTTATCCCATTTTCGAACATTTCAAGTTTGCATTTGTTTTCCCATTTTTTTTTTCAGAAATTCTATAAAACCGTCGGATGACTTCTTTATTGAGTCATCCATAACTTTTTGTCAGAATATGCTCGACACGGAAAGTGGAGGTACCCTTATGGACAAGACGCCAACAGCTGCAAAGGAGCTGATCCCAAACATTGCTTAAAATTCCAAAACAATTCCGCACTTGGGATGCATCCTTAGAGACGATGAATGAAGCTAGTATCAGCACATCATAATCTCAAGCTATAGAATTGACGACTTTTTTTCGAAAGTTATGAGATGACGGATCACGTCACTGACAATTGCCCACTAATTAACGGTGAAATAGAGGTGCAAGTTATATGTTTTTTATATTTTTGCAAAATGATTATGAAAGACCTTTATTAGACAAATGTCTTAGACACGGTTATATTTTCCAAATTGTTTAATGTGATGGAAATTTTAATTATGCTTTATTTGTTGAAGGAAGATAGCTTTCAAGTAATGCCTGAATAATATTTTTTAGAAAATATTCTCAAAATAGGTTAAAATTATTTCTGAAAATTCTTGTTCTTTCTTAATAAAATAACCGGGCGGTACATTACATGCCATGCTTTTTTATTTTATTTTTTTAAGTCCAACCTCTCTACTCTCTAGTAGGCCAGGAATCGGTCCGGTTCTTAACATATTTTTCAAGAACCGGAATCAGAACCGAAATAAAAAAATCAGTTCAGTTAACACCTAAATATCCGCAAGAACCAAAAAGAACCGAACCTAGTTATAACGGTTCAGTTTTTTTGGTTCTTCGGGTAACCGAATAAAGAAAAATAATCTACAATAACCAATTTTAAATTAAGAACTGATCAAAAAATTGCAATATTGAACGAAAAGTATCATAAAAACCGAGAACCGAATTGCAAAAATGAGGAACCAAGTATTACATACCAAGAACCAGAACTGAA